TTTATTTAGTTGTTTTTTCTCTTTTTTTTCTTCTTCCTTAATTTGCATTATTTTTTTTATTTTTTTTACAATCACTGTTTCTTTGAATTTATTGAAATTTTTGCTTTTATTGTCAATTTGTATGTGAATTGTTACTAAATCATTTAAAAAAAAAAAAAAAACACACATTCATGATTCATTTCTGCTGAAATTCAGCTCATAGAGCCCTATATGTGCTTTATTAGGAGATCTGAACAATACACTGTTACACTGATCAATAACCGTCCCTTGTTTATCATGTTTAGAAACTGAGGAGACGTTTATGTTTACGTTTTATGTTTACTGTGTTAAACTCAACATCCAGGCTAGTATCATTCAGTCAGTAGTCATTGGTTTTATATTTAAAAGCTCTTAAAGCTATATAAAAAAACTATTTTCTATCTTTCTTAATTTTTTTAATTATTATGTTTATTTATTTTTAATTTTATTATTTATTTTTAATTTTTTACATATTTAATTTTTTTTTTTTTATTGTTTTAATTTGTTATTTGTATTTATTTAATTTTTAATTATTTATTATTTGTTTTACATTTTATTATTTGTTTTATTTGTATTTATTTATTTTTTTAAAATCTATCTCTGTGTGTGTGTGAGAAATCAGAATTAAATTCTGTTATTTGATTCTCACAGTCTTATTGATATATTATGGGATGTTTATCATTAGGATAATGTCTTGTCACTGGACTGTTCCGTTCACTAACACAGCACTATGTAAATACCATGAATGTTTGTTTTAATGAATGTTTATGTGTTTACTGCTTTCAGGTTTTGAGAAACCATCAGCCATCCAGCAGCGAGCCATCAAACAGATCATCAAGGGACGAGACGTCATCGCCCAGTGAGTCAATAAAAAAGTGCAATACACACCTGTTTATGTCTGGTTTTGTTGTTTAAATGGTCTTGTTTGTTCTCCAGGTCACAGTCTGGAACGGGTAAAACAGCCACGTTCTGTATCTCAGTGCTGCAGTGTTTGGATATTCAGGTGCGTTTTGCGTTTACTTGCGTCTTGATTTCCTTCCAGTGATATTTAGGTATAATTAAAATACTGTTGCCTTATTTTAAATTACATTTTATTTTTATATTTTCTGTTTTAATTTTAACGTTTTAGTAATCTTGTGTTTTTGTCTTTTATTCATTTTTTTATTATTTTTTATTTATTTAAATATGTATATGTAGTTTTTATTTAGTTTCAACTTAAACTAGGCAAAAATGTTTCCTTGGAAACTAGCTGATTTATTTATTTATTTATTTTTTAATAGTTTTTATTAAGTTTGAATTATTTTAGTACTTCACCTTAAACTAAACAAAAATGAAATGTGTTACCTTGGAAACTAGCTGATTTTTTTTTTTAACTTTCTGTAGTTTTTATTAAGTTTTAGATATTTTAGTACATCAGCTTAAACTAAATAAAAAAAAACACACATTCATGATTCATTTCTGCTGAAATTCAGCTCATAGAGCCCTATATGTGCTTTATTAGGAGATCTGAACAATACACTGTTACACTGATCAATAACCGTCCCTTGTTTATCATGTTTAGAAACTGAGGAGACGTTTATGTTTACGTTTTATGTTTACTGTGTTAAACTCAACATCCAGGCTAGTATCATTCAGTCAGTAGTCATTGGTTTTATATTTAAAAGCTCTTAAAGCTATATAAAAAAACTATTTTCTATCTTTCTTAATTTTTTTAATTATTATGTTTATTTATTTTTAATTTTATTATTTATTTTTAATTTTTTACATATTTAATTTTTTTTTTTTTATTGTTTTAATTTGTTATTTGTATTTATTTAATTTTTAATTATTTATTATTTGTTTTACATTTTATTATTTGTTTTATTTGTATTTATTTATTTTTTTAAAATCTATCTCTGTGTGTGTGTGAGAAATCAGAATTAAATTCTGTTATTTGATTCTCACAGTCTTATTGATATATTATGGGATGTTTATCATTAGGATAATGTCTTGTCACTGGACTGTTCCGTTCACTAACACAGCACTATGTAAATACCATGAATGTTTGTTTTAATGAATGTTTATGTGTTTACTGCTTTCAGGTTTTGAGAAACCATCAGCCATCCAGCAGCGAGCCATCAAACAGATCATCAAGGGACGAGACGTCATCGCCCAGTGAGTCAATAAAAAAGTGCAATACACACCTGTTTATGTCTGGTTTTGTTGTTTAAATGGTCTTGTTTGTTCTCCAGGTCACAGTCTGGAACGGGTAAAACAGCCACGTTCTGTATCTCAGTGCTGCAGTGTTTGGATATTCAGGTGCGTTTTGCGTTTACTTGCGTCTTGATTTCCTTCCAGTGATATTTAGGTATAATTAAAATACTGTTGCCTTATTTTAAATTACATTTTATTTTTATATTTTCTGTTTTAATTTTAACGTTTTAGTAATCTTGTGTTTTTGTCTTTTATTCATTTTTTTATTATTTTTTATTTATTTAAATATGTATATGTAGTTTTTATTTAGTTTCAACTTAAACTAGGCAAAAATGTTTCCTTGGAAACTAGCTGATTTATTTATTTATTTATTTTTTAATAGTTTTTATTAAGTTTGAATTATTTTAGTACTTCACCTTAAACTAAACAAAAATGAAATGTGTTACCTTGGAAACTAGCTGATTTTTTTTTTTAACTTTCTGTAGTTTTTATTAAGTTTTAGATATTTTAGTACATCAGCTTAAACTAAATAAATGGCATGTTGTCTTGGACACTAGCTGAAATAAAATAATTTTTTTTTTTTTTTAATGTCTTTTTTATTCATATTTATTTTTATTTTAGTACTTACTCTTAAGCTAGACATTAATTTATGAATTTTAGAAGTTGCCTTGGAAACTAGCTGAAATGTTTTTTATTTTATTTATTTTGTTTATTACTTTAATGTATTTTTATTTAATTTCAGTTAATGTTTTTTTATTTCAAATAATGATTTAAAAAAAAAAAATTTTAAGTAACAATAATCCTGTTTCCTCCGTCACAAAAATGTCTCAATTCCTTTTTTGACTTCAGGTTCGAGAGACTCAAGCGCTGATTTTAGCTCCGACCAGAGAGTTAGCAGGACAGATCCAGAAGGTAATACAACAATAATAAAAAAAGGTTGCACATTTGTTTCATAGTTTCTAAGCTCCCGTGTCTGACACGATGTCATTTCCTGTGTTCTGCAGGTGCTGCTGGCGTTGGGCGACTACATGAACGTTCAGTGTCACACCTGTATCGGAGGCACAAACGTGGGCGAGGACATCCGGAAGCTGGACTACGGTCAGCATGTGGTCGCTGGAACGCCCGGCCGAGTGTTTGGTGAGTTTTCTTCATTCATGTCCATCTTTTTTGACCTTTACACTTAAACTGTTCCTTTAAGACTCCGTGCATGAGGTTGCTAAATACTGAATGCATGTTGATATGCAAATGCATGCTTACATATGTTAATGTGACGTCTGAGTGTGCTGTATTTCTACTATATTTATGCGTTTCTTTCTGAAGTCACTGCACAGCAAGTGTTATTTCGAAAGAGAAGATCCTGTTGAATGTTTATAATATAATAAAATCTCTTACTCTGTCAGATATGATCCGCAGGAGGAGTTTGAGGACTCGTGCCATTAAGATGCTGGTGTTGGATGAAGCCGACGAAATGCTCAACAAAGGTAAAGTGTCCTAAAACGCTTCTGATTGCACGAGATCGTGTGTGTGAACTCGTGTGACTCTGCGTTTGGTTTCTGCAGGTTTTAAGGAACAGATCTACGACGTGTACCGATACCTGCTGCCTGCCACTCAGGTGTGTCTCATCAGCGCCACGCTGCCACACGAGATCCTGGAGATGACCAACAAGTTCATGACCGACCCCATCCGCATCCTGGTCAAACGGTGAGACGCTTGAGGCCGATTGCTTTGTTTTAACCCTTTGAAGCCTGGTGCATCATATAGGACTGTGCACAATTATTATCTGTAATTATTAGGGATGCTCCGATCAGGATTTTTGCAGTCGATACCGAGTACCGATTTCTTGTCATGGTGATCAGCCGATGCCGATTCTGATGCTTCAAGCTTTATATAGACGGGCGCACGCGCCTGGCCCGAAGTCTGTGTGTGTTTATCAGTCTGGCGCCGGCTACAAACACAGTTAAGGTGATGAGTAGACTGAAGTTGGGCTCAGGTGGTTGTGCTGTGGGATGTGTTTCCCATACATTTATTTATGTGTGGCGCTCGCTGAATAAGGCTTCGTTGAATAAACATGAGCACGTACTGCACGTTTAAAAATCAAAACGAGGTGCGGGTGTTTTTATATCACTGTATTTCTGAAGTAAGACTATCTTTAGAAAATTTCGATGTCATTTTCATGTCATCTTGCATGTTATATGCCTGATAAAGCAGCGTTTGTGAGGTCCGTGGGTCGGGTAATAAAAAGTGCATTCTGATTATTTGCGGGTGGATAAAATAAATCATAAATGATGCAAATATTAACTACATTTTTTTCATGAGGCAGACGATTTCGTGTGTGTGTGTGTGTGTGTGTGTGTGTGTTTGTTTGCCTGATCGGGAAGTTGCAGTGACAGAAACGGTGACATAATCCAGATAAAGTTTGAAAGGAGTACATGTGCTAATGCTATTGAGTAGGCTAATATGGCCAAAGAAGATATTTTGTTTTATAAATAAACGTTCATTTAAAAGCAGCCCACGGTCAGCGTGTTATGTTACCGTTATCCTTTACGGCTCCGACGAGGTTTTGTTCCGTCCTCCA